TATATATATATATATATATATTTACAAAACTAAAAAGATAAGAACAAGTCTCCGTGTAAGGTCAGACGTCAGGTTGAACAAGTTGACAAATTGATGAGATAAGAATGAGCCTCCTACCAAGTAGTTGGACCATCCAAGTGACCCCTTATTCATTCAATGAATACACGTTCCATATATAACTACGTGTCTCGTTTTCCCCCCTTTAATAAAATGAGAAAAAATTACTAGAAAAATTCTTGTGCGCTTATTTAATTAATACCGTTACGTTTGGTATTTTACATAAATCAAAATCAAAACGACGCAATTTTTCTTTATGCATGTTATAAAATCAGAAATCAAACCTTGGATAAAAAATATTAATTTCCATGTACTACTTGAGGGCTTTTTCCATTGAATCTGTATCTAAACTCACTCTTTTAGTCGTGTGGTATAAATAATTTACCAAAAATTTGGAAAAAAGAATCTGCCAATTTCTTATTTTAAAATAAGATGTTTTCTATAAAAGGGCTGATGAAAGTTGCGGTGCAGCACCATATACCTAATTTTACCAGCAAATGACTTTACCGTCACTGAAAAGCTAACAACATTAAAGTGACAGGTATAAGTACACATGTCCCAACTTTTATTTCTTCTAAAGTTAGCGTAACTATATATATTGTTTGATTTAAATTAAATCATGAATTTCTTTTCTTACTCTTTTGGTTGTCCGGCATCCTATCCAACCACCTTCTTCTAAGATCTATTATAATCACTATTTTATTTGCATTTGACCAATTTGTGGCACTAGGACATTAATTTCTTTGGTGATAAAATAGAAGGCAAAGCATCTTACCGGCAACGTTGATGTTCTCGACAATGTAAAGGACGTTGTCTTCGTTGATCTCGCCTTTTTTCTGAGCATCCAAAATGTGGTCAATGGCGCATTTAAGTCCATCGTTGCTGGTACTCTTCGTGCTTCCAAGCTTCCTGTTTTAATTCCCATTTAATTTAATAATTCATTCGCTATAAAACAATCTCTTCGAATAAAACAAACTTTACTTTCCGCTCTAGTTCAAATCAATTTTATTCTTTTTATATACCTCTTCAATAGTTAATTGAATCTCACGTTGTAGAATAATCCACGTGGACAAGACAAAAAAACTGGTTGAGTGAAGCAATGGAGTACCCAAATGAAAAACTAGTAGGAATGAGACAAATGAATCGGTGAAATCAACTCAAAAGAATCATTGGGAAGTACCAAAAAGAAAAGGAAACAGAAAACAAGTGACTGAGACTGAAGATCCAGAACACAAAAAGGAAAACACAAGTACTAAAAATAATAAAAACATGGGATTGACAGAAAGAAAAACATTTAAATTAATTTCCATAACATCTTATTATTTATTTTCCGTTAATTTTTTTTTATTATCTGAAAAAGTTATATAAAAGTGTAACCGTCCAAAATCTTAAAGTTAAACACATTGTTAGTTTAATTAACAACGTAAAAACTTAAATTGAATAGAAATAATTCGTAGTAATAGTAATATTAAAGAAATAATAAGTTGAATGAATGAATTAGGACTTACTTCCTCTCGTCAACGAAATAATCCTTGAAAAGCTTCAACCTGGTTTCCTTAACCTCCTTGCAAATCTTCAAGTAACCCTTCAAGAAGGGTCTCAAGATGGGAATAAAGTCTCCATAGTTGTATTCAAAGCTCTGCGCCAAGCGACTCCTCTCTCCATTAAGAGCTCTGAGCTTCTGGAAAATGGGGTCCTGCTCGCTCTCGAAGCGGCGGTCGAACATGATGCGGTACATGTTGTTGTACATCATGAGCTGGAGCCTGCGACGGATGACGGTGCCGGAGACGGCGGCCTCGGGGTTGTTGCGGACGTCGTGGACGACGGCGGCGGCCTCGGCCTCCCAGCCCTGGCGGTACTGCTGCACAACCTTGTTGGTGAAGAAGGGGACGGTCATGATGCGGCGCATCTTGCGCCAGTGCTCGCCGTAAACGGTGAAGACCATGTCCTGGCCCTTCCCGGTGAAGATGTCGAACACCACGTTGCGCGTGCGGGACCCGAACTCCACGCCCTGCGTGTGCAGCACCTCTTTTGCCAGCTCCGGCGAGGACACCACCACCAGGTTCCGCTGCCCCATGCGGAGGAGGAAGATGTCGCCGAACTTCTTGGCCAGGTCGGTGAGGTTGCGGTGGTTGAGGTCGTCTCCCACCTGGAGCCAGTTCCCGAAGATGGGGACCGGAAGCGGCCCCGGCGGCAGTTTGAACCTCTTCCCGCGGAGCTTGGAGAGGGCGATGGCGACCACCGCCGCGAGGAAGAGGCCCAGGAGGGTCTTCTCCAGCAGGAGGAGATCCATTCACGTGGTGGTGGGTGTGAGAGATGAGGTGTATGAATGTGTGTTTGTGTGATGATGTTATTTGAAACAAGTGGCGGGGTGTGTGGAGCTTTTATAGAGCAAGTATGATGGTAGCTCCAGGACGGGTTAGGTGGAGCTTGTGGTTCTTGTTCGTCTTTTCTTTCTTTCTTTCTTTCTGGCCCCCACTTCTCAATCTCTCATTTATAATTAATTATTATTATTATTATTATTAGTATGTTACAGTCTATTAATTTTAAATTTGACCCTTTTTAAATCTATCCAATTTATTAAGTTCAGATGTTTTGGGCATAATCCATTTTATTATTAAGTTAAATTATTACATAATCATCACTTGCAGAATGGAAAATATGGGGACTATTTTTTGTTTTGGTAGGTGAGATGTTGAGAAAAATAGAATGAATTTATATGTTTAAAGATATAAGTGTATTTGGAAATGAAGAAAGTGTTTTGAGGGTAAGGGGGTGACGGCATTCAATTACGCTGACTTTGAGGGGTAGGAAGAGGAGCGCTTGTAGTAGGTGAGGAGGGGTTGGTAGCTGGCCCATTTTTTTTATTTATTTTTCATATATAATATAACTATAAAATCAAATTCTCATCTTCTTAACCAAAAATATAAATAAAAACAACTTCTACTTGTCCAACTCCATTCACTCTTTTTCATCCATACTGTAACAAACCTTCAACAAGTTGTTTAAATTTCCCAACCATTTACTTTACTTCCGCTAATTAATCCTATCACCGTCTTATATATATATATGTATATAATATTCTTTATACTTTTTTTATAAGATTTTTTTAACTGTTAGTTACATTAATTATATTTTTTAATGAAAATTTGTTCGTTATTTTTAATTTCTTATTTATGTGTTGTTAAAAAATCTTATTTACGTTACTTATTTAATGGAGTATATAATGTGATATTAAGTGGTTGTATCGAGAATGCTTCCAAAGGCTGCCACACTAATACTATTACCAAAACTGGATATAAATAGTATCCGCCAATCATTGTGAGAAGCAATTAAGTACTGAAGAGAAGATGAACGGAACTGAACTAGTGGGGTTAGTGGCAATGAAAAATGGAGCTCATCTACTCCACCAAGTCTTTATATATTTGTCAAAAGGAGTCCAATGTCATTTTTATATGGTACGTCTTTCCACTCAAAATGTTTATTTTCTTTTATTTTGATACATTTGGAGGGGGTTAAAAAAAGTTATTTTCTTCTATTCACCAAAAATATATTTGTTTATTTTAATTATGAAAATATTTTTATGCAATTTTTTCTTTTTATGTTAATATATCAATTTTGATATATTTATTTTTCATTTATTTTCAGTAATAATTTATTTCATAATATTACGGAAATTTAATAATGATTACTGATTATTAAAATATTTTAATCTAAATTTTTCTTTAATTTTGATATAATATGTGCAAAATGTAATAGCTATTAGTATTAATTTTGTATGTTTCTTTCATGTAAATTGATTAATTTTATATTATTTTATTTTATTTTTACAATAAACATTTATATAAAAATGTTAGAAGAAGTTTTAGACAAAAAAGAAGTTGAGAGTTTTGGAAGGAAAAGAATTATTATAGAACTTGTTTCATTTTTAGTATTAATAGATAGATATAGAGTGATATTAGCATTGTTGGGAGTGGGGATGTTTAATGTTTAAATATGAACCAAAGTAGTTGGCAGCAGCCACCGCCAAATATTCAAACCCACAAAATAAATAAATATAATATTCAATCCTCGCCTTTCAATTTCAAAAGTATATTCACACAAACAATTTATTAATTTTAAGATAAACTCATTAATAATTATTTTAAACATACAAAAAAAAATTCTCTTAAATATAACTAACTTTTAATTACTTTTGACTTTTCTAAAATATTTTTCTTTTATGACTTTTTAGTTATACTTTGATATTTATAACTAAGATAATTTAATATTATAGAATTAATGAAATTCAATGTAAATAATTAATTTCTTTAATATATATAAAATAAGATGTTTGTTAATTGATATTCATAACTAAGATAATTTAATATTATAGAATTAATAAAATTTAATACAGATAATTTAACTTCTTTAATATATATAAAATCAGATATTTCTTAAAAGAAACTTATGTCGCATATTATCAGGAAAATTAGTTAGTTGCATTATATTTTATTAATTTCATAATATTTACGAATTGTTCTCGTTATAAATATCTAAAAAGTAACACAATAAAAAAGTTATATATTAAAAAAACGACATTTTAGAAAAAATATCATTAATTAAAATAAAAGTAATTAAAAATTATTTAAATTTAAGAGAAAAATATTTATTTTCTCAATTATAATGTAAAAAAAGTATTTCCGGACAGCATTTTAACATGTGAAAAAAATTATTTATTTAAGTTCCATAAATAAATAAATTCAATTTAGATTCTTATAAATATATTAATTTTGTATTATTATTTTTTCTACTCAATATGATGAATTAATGTACTAATTAATTTTTTATTCATCAGAATTATATGATTATCTATACAATTATTATTATTATTTTTTCACAGCTACATTTTTCTCAAAAGAATTAATAAATCACGTGATCCATCCATATCAAAACAAAAAAAAGAATCACGTGATCCGTAATTCTGATATCGTAATTTATATATAATCTAAAAACGTGATGGTTTAAATTATAAAGATGTGTAATATTAAAATATTATAAAGATGTAGTAATTCAAATAGAAAGGAAATAAAATTAAATTTTTACCATGAAAAATAAACTTGGTGAAATGCTTGAAAATTTGGTAAAATTAAAATTAAAGTAGACATGTTTTCCTTTTATAATGTTATTATAAAAAAAATGCAAGTTACCTATGTCAGAGTCTAAAAGACTTCTTTATAAATTATATTAGTAATAGATATTGAACCATTTACCTCATCGTCACAAATAAGAACTTTCAGATCACTACGAGATGTGATTCGAGATATTGCGACATATAATTGGTCATGTGAAAAAACAGGTTGTGGAAGATAGATGACAACATGTTTCAATAATTGTCCTTAACTTTTATTTATTGTCATGACAAAGGAGACATTTATTGGAAATTGTCTATGTTGAAATTTGAAAGGAATTCTCTTATATGATGGAATTAAGGACAATCAAGGAATAAAAACTTTTTTTCCAATATTGCTGCCTGATATCACTTTTGCCTCCAAAACATATTTATCCAATTGAATTATCATAAGTCTAGTTTCATTATACAACCTAGAAGATTGATCTATATTTCTCAACAACATTATCGGAACACCAACTTTCAATTTCACCTCATGATTTAGAATTTCAGAAACAGTGATAATATTAAGGAATTCAAGGGTATAAACATCATTAGGTGTACCTAATTGCCCTTTAGCAGAACATGTAACACAAAGAAAATCTAGGATTTGCTGAATTGTAACCCTTTTGCACTCTCTTAGAATACCACATCATTGCTCCACATTCTTGGCACTCACAAGTAGGATCACCAATATCACAATAAATTATTTATTATTATAAGAAAATAATAAGCTTTCATGTAATAGATTAATGGTTAAAATATGAAACTTATTATAAAATACAATATTGAAGACATATAATCGGTGGTGAATACATCTTCATGTATATCATCAATGACTACATTTTACTTTGAAGTTCTGATTAATCTACCATTATTCCATATTAACCTTTGTGGTCCTTTCCCTTGTGCATGGTTATTATGATTTGATTCACATTCTTCGAACATGTCATCAAATTCATTATTTTGATTTGATGTGTGATTTGCTCTTTGGCTAGATAATATCTTAACTACAAAACAACAAAATAAAAAGATAATCAAATAAGAAATGAAAAATATAAACATTATAAAATTAAATAATATAGTTATATTAAAAGAAATAAGACTTCATAAATTACCATTTGTGATATTTGACAATGGAGATTGAGTAAATTATTCTGTCATACATACACATTTTCTAACAACTCTATTTAAGACAGTGTTAGATCGATGTGCATTATGTGTACTATCATTGACTGAAAAAAAAAACTAACCTTGTAAATAAGTTTTTCCATAAATAATTTTGAGAAATAAACAATATATAAAAAAAAATTGGTTAGTACTAACCTATTAATCTCACAGTTGTTACATCAGAAGATTGAGACATATTACATCGACATTACATAGGTACAACTTTACCAAATAATAGTTTATGTCCAGTAAAAGAGGGAGAAACATTTTGACTGTTGGCGCCTAGTAATAATGATACAAAAATATGAATAATCATTAATTTTCAAACATATAAATAGAATGAGACATTTTTTACAAAATTTAATTTTACCATTAGTAATATCCAACAATGGAATACTACATAATTCTACTTGATTAGATGCACTTCCTCCAATAAAATCATTTGATAATGCCCACGGAAATGATCACTTAAAATATTATTTCTTGCAATTGTAAAATACACACTCATATATTAATTACATTTTAAAGTGCTTTATATAATTAAATACTTTGACAGAAAAATATTTCTTATTGTTAATATGTAATATTGGGATATATTATCACTCGTCATTGGTGACATTTGAATGACACACTCTGACGCATTTACTACGATTACAATATTGAACATCTTCATCGAATGATTTTGAGTTATTTTGTTTTTTTTCAACATTATCATACATAACACTGCTTGTCTCTAAATACTCAAAATCTAAAGAAACTAAAGAAAATGTTAAATATCTATTATAAATAATTTATAATGTTTAGCATTGAAAGAAAATTTAAGAAGTTCAACTTGTCAATAAATAAAATTATTTATTTATTTTCTTAAATGACTCTCGCTTGGGAACCAAATCTAAAAGGACAATATTACTAGGAGGGTATGTAGTGTACTAATAGAAGCCAAATGTCCACCTATTAAGTTCCCTTTTTCCTTTTAAATTAACAATTAAAACCTTCCAAACAACCATAAAGAGTTATACAACAACCCTTTGTCTTTTCAATATGAATC